TCTGCTACTGCTCTCGATCGACAGGCTCTAGTTTGCTACTGTTCTCGATCGATAGACCTTAAATCGCACCTCGTTCTCTCCCCTGCCCTCTTGTCTCTGCCCACGATCTCCCGTCTCTACCCATGTTCGACTGCTGCACGATGTCCCGTCTTTCTCTCTCGCTGCTGGTCTGGGTAGCAGCCTTGGGCTGTTTTTTTTTTTTTTTCATGGGCTGCTTGCTTCTTTTCCTTTTTTTCTTTTTGGCAGTTGTTGGGCTGCTTGCTTTGGGCCTTTACAGCTGCTGGGCTGCAACATGATGAGACCAAAAACACAAAAATCAAATTTTCACTTTTTTTTTTCTTTTTCCAACTTAAATGGCCTCATATAATTAAATATCAACTTAAATTAAAATGGACATTTTTAAGCATCTACTTAACATTAATTGCAAGGTAACTTTAACATAAAAAATGTGTAAATTTGTAATTGTCAAATTCCCCCACACTTTGATCATTGTCCGTCCCGACAATGACTTGAGTTAGCACGTAGTTATAAAAATCGAATCTAACGAGAATGTCAACACATATAACATATCATGAGTTTGAGATTTGCAACAAAAGAAGGCAGTTGGATGAAATAATATTAGAATCTTTTCTTCCTTTCACAATTCCATGCACACACATGCACATATACATGCATGATAATATATATACATACATGTACCCCATGCATGCATGCATATTAAAATATGTACATAATCAAACTCATGCATGCATATACATACCACATGGATTAATAATGACAATTAATTACATACTCACATAACCACATAATCACATAATAATTATCTCAGATGTATAACCAGAACCCGGTTATCACAGTTTAACAATTTTCATAGCATCTGTAAATAAAATCGAACAAATCGAGATGTACAAATATATAGCTAGTTTCAAAATCAAAATCAAAATCAAATTCAGCTTAGATCAAGAGAAGGTGATAGCAGTACAATCAGATAGCCCCAAAATCGAGGTGTTTCAATATTGTGTGATCACAAAAATAAAGTAGGTAAAACCATGAAAATCATAGACCATCAAAATTAAGTTATGCAAAGATATACCACAATCCTCAAATTGCATATGCACATCAAAAAAATTAATTTAAAAATAATAAATTGATATATCTAATTTATTAAATTACCTTTAATTAATAACATAAGAGGGATATCCTCATAGTTTATCAAATTACCTTTAATTAATTAAGAAATTAATTTAAACATAATAAACTGATATAGCTCTTGAAGATGTTGGATCGAAATATATAGTTGCAAGATTGAATCAACCAAAGTTTGTTTATTTATGAGAAAAATACACACTAGAAACTATACAAATCGATACAAATATATAGACACCGAAGAGGTGCCTTCAAACCATTGTGACTGTTCGAATGGTGGTGATCGAACCATTGTGATGGTTYGGATGTTGGTGGTTATCATCGCACCCTTTCAAGTTTCCTAAATTACAAATTTTTACTTAAATAAAAATAATAAGAAACTAAAACACTAAACTTTGTTTCTTCTAATTAATGTCGAGATTAACTCAACATTCACCCCCCTTAATCTTGATCATTCTGAAGAAGATCCTTAGCTCCAAGTAATTTTCTCATGGTGACAAATATTATTCTTGGAAGCGGCTTTGTAAGTATGTCGGCTCGTTTTAGTTCTCCACTGATATGTTCGACTACTATATCTTCCTTCTCGACACATTCTCGTATGAAGTGATACTTTGTATCAATGTGCTTACTCCTTCTGTGAAACACTGGATTCTTCATTAGCACTATTGCGGATTTATTGTCCACGTAAATTGTAACCTTTTCTTCCTTTGTATCGGTAATTTTACTGAGTAGTCTTTTTAACCAAAGTGTCTGTGTTGCTGTTGTTATTGCTACAATAAACTCTTATTCGCACGAGGATAATGCTACTATTCCTTGCTTCTGAGTGCTCCAACTAATAGGTGAGTTTCCAAAATAGAAAATTATTCTTGTTGTGCCTTTTCCTTCTTGTGTGTTAACACTGTAACTGTTGTCACTGTAACCTTGTATCTTGTTTCCTCCTTCATGCCCATAAGTTATACCATAGTCTTTTGTTCCTTTGATATAATGCAATACTTGATTGATTGCTTTCATATGTTGTTCTTGTGGGTCTTGCATGAAACGACTAAGTATTCCAACTGAAAAACTTAGATCAGGTCTTGTATGTAGTAAGTACCGTAAACATCCAATTAACCTTCAATATTCGGTGCCATCTACAGATATTTCTTCGGTTACTTTTGTAAGCTTGAGACCTGGTTCCATAGGTATCCTTGCTTCATTACAGTCTAACATCCCTGTGTCTCTGAGTATCTTGGTTGAGTAGCCAGTTTGCTTCATTGAGATTCCACCCCGTTTTGTGTAACCTCAATGCCAAGATAATAAGCAAGTAATCCAAGATCACTCATTTCGAACTTCTTTTTCATCTGATCCTTGAAAGTTTCAATATCTCTCTTTGGTGTTCCAGTGACTATTAAGTCATCAACGTATATCCCAACCAATAGAGTTGATGCCTTATTTGTTCTTGTGTAGACTGCWTGCTCTAATGTACATTTCTTGAAACCAAGTATTTTCAATGTGTTATCTAACTTGGTGTACCATGCTCGTGGAGCTTGTCTTAGCCCATATAGCGCTTTCATGAGTCTGTAAACTTTTCCTTTGTTTCCTTCTTCTATAAAACCTTCAGGCTGTGAGACATAAACTTCTTCCTTCAATTTGCCTTGTAGAATTGCTGATTTTACATCTAGATGATGAACTTCCCATTTGTTGTATGCTGCCAGAGCCAATATCAATCGTATTGTCTCGATTCGTGCTACTGGTGCGAAGACTTCATCAAAATATATGCCTTATTCTTGAATATATCCTTTGGCTACTAATCGTGCTTTGTGCTTTAATATCCTTCCTTCAACATCCCTTTTTGTCTTGAACACCCATTTTAAACCAATTGCTTTATGATCTTTTGGTAGGGTAGTTAGCCTCCAAGTATTTTTCTTGTTGATAAAATCAATTTCTGCTTTCATAGCTTCAATCCACTTGTCATCTATTCCTTGAAGTTCCTTGGTTCGTCTTCTACTAGCAATAACTCATCCGTGTTGGCGTATATATCACTTAAGGCCCTATAACCTCTTACGGGTCTATGATCAATTCTTAAATCTGTTGTAGAAGGCGTATCAGCTTTTGAATCTGGTGAATGGATGGTGGATTGCTGTGGGCTATACTCATGAGTAGATATCTGGGAATTGAGTATAGTAGGTACCTCTTCATCTGAATCGTTGTTACCATGTGTAACATTATTTTTGAAATCTTCACATTCATTAGAGATATACTAAGTACCAGGTGTTTCATTATTCCCTATAATGAAATTAGTCCATTCCGGTCTATCTAGATTGAAATCTTTCGTATATTCCTTCCAATTCCATGTCTCATCTTCTTTGAATTTTACGTCCCGACTGATGCAAATTCTATTATTTATTGGATCAAACAGGCTGTATGCTTTTGATCGTGGCTCACTGCCTAAGTATACCATTCGTATACTTCTATCATATAATTTCTTCAAGTGTTGTGATGGTACCTTAGCATATGCAATGCATCCAAAAATCTTTAGATGATGTAGGCTTGGCTTTTTTTCCCTTCAATGCTTTGTATTGAGTAATGTCATCAAGTGACTTTGTTGGTGTGCAATTCAATATCAGTATGGCATGTCTAATTGCTTCTGCACAAAAATTATGTGGCAAGTTCGTTGCCTTCATCATGCATCTTGTTGCTGAAAGAATTGTCCTATTCTTTTGTTCAACAACTCCGTTTTGTTGAGGTGAGTATGGTGCAGTTAACTATCTTGTGATGCCATTGTCTTTGCAGTATTGTAGGAATTCATTTGATGTGAATTCTCCTCCTCTGTCTGTTCTGAACATCTTCAACTTGATTCCAAGTTCGTTTTCCACCCTCTGTTTAAATTCTTTGAAAATTCCAAATGCTTGATTTTTTGAATCTAGAAAGTATTCCCACATATATCTTGAGTAGTCGTCTACTAGTAGAAATATGTACCTTTTGCCTTTTGGTGTAGGTGGTGATATTGGACCACATAAATCTCCAAATACTAGATTCAGCGGTGCTTCTGACCTTGACTTTGCTTGTTGTGGGAATGGTGCTCTGCTATGCTTTCCTATTAAGCATATGTCACAAATACTTACTGTATGTTTAATGGGTGGTATACCATGAACCAAGTCCTTCGAAAACATTTTCTTCATTGAGTCAAAATTCAGATGACCCAGCCTTGCATGCCATAACCATGCCTTATCATATAGATTGGCTAATAAACAAACAGGTTTACCGATCCTCAAGTTTGCCTTGTATAGTCGGTTATTTGATCGCTTGACCTTTAGTTATTATTGCTTGAATCATACAGTAGTAGTAAGTCGTCTTCCATGACTACTTTGCAACCATTCTCTGTTAATTGACCCAAGCTCAATATATTATTCTTCAGATTTGGAATGTAATATACCTGTGAGATGATCTGTTGTTCTTTGTTTTTGCATTCCAATAGTATAGATCCCTTTCCTTTGATCTCCACGTATGATCCATCCCCGAATCTTACGTTCCCGGTAATCTTCTCGTCAATTTCCTTGAAATGATCTTTGACTCCCGTCACAGGATTGCTTGCACCATTGTCTAAATACCATAGACTTTCATCATTTGTAGTTGTCTTGCTTGATTCGAGATTCTTCTCGGTTAAGAAAACTTTATGGTGCTCTTCAATAGTTGCCATAAGCAAAGTTGGTTCTAAGTCTTCTTCAATGAGATTAGACTCTTCTTTCTCTTGATTATTTATGTGGACATTTGCTTGCATAATGTCCATGCCTCCTGCACTTGAAGCACCGTATTTTACTCTTATCTGGAGTAAATTTCTTTGCATTGTTGTTTGTTTCTTTCTTGAAATTATTCTATGAAGGTTCCCAGTTCTTTCTTTCTGATCTAAATCTGTTATTCCCTCGGCCTCGTGATTGGTTAAATCTACCACGACCACATCCTCTGTAAGGTTGGCCTCGAGCTTCATGCTGCGTGAACATCAATCCCTCTTGAGTGTCCACATATCTTTCCTTTTTATACTTGAGTCTTTCTTCAAAAGGCTTCAGTCTCCCGATTACTTCGTCTAGAGACATAGTATCTAAGTTCGAGTATTGTTCAATGGATGCAACAATTTGAAGAAATCTGTCGGGTACGACATTTAATAATTTTCGTTCGAGAGTGGAATCTTCATATGTTAATCCCAAGCTTGCCGCTTTGTTGATAATACCCGTCAACTTTGTAGTAAATGAATCGATTGATTCATTTTCTTTCATCTGTAACATCTCAAATTCCGTCTTGACTGTTTGTAGTCTTGCTTGTTGGACACTGTTTACTCCAATGTGTCTTGTCTTCAAAGCATCCCAAACTGCCTTTGCAGTTTTGTATTTTGAAATGAGAAGTAATTGATCTTCTGTTAGTGATTGATAAATATAGGCGATAGCGGTTTTATCCTTTTTTGCATCAGCTTGTGTTGTTGGTTGTGGTTCAATCATTTCCCAAAGACCATTTGCTTCCAAGATTATTTGCATCCGAATTGCCCAAGTAGTGTAATTTGTTGCTTTCAACATTGGGCATTGGAAATGGGTTGTAGAACCTATTTTCTTATAAATTTTGGAACTGTCTCCTTATTCCATGCTATTCGTCCCCATCATGATTTAATATAAAATTTATATTAAAATTTTGTTTTAAGAAAATATTTATAATTTGTTGATTTATAAAAAACTAATAATAAAGAAAAACTTTATTATTTGTTTAATAAAGAGTATAAGAATTACAAAATATTAAATTAAAACAAAATTATAATAAAAGGTTTCCCTTAAATTTTTAAATATAATGAATTAGGGTTTTGTTTTAAAAGTGGGAAAAGGAAATCGTACACCTTTGTGTGTGTATACGTCGCTTCTTCTTCGGCTATTCAAATCGAGTACCCCTCGAATTTTGATTTGATCGGCAGTTACTTTGCTGTGGTTCACAGTCATAGTGCTTGTTGCTTGGTTTTCCTTTTTCGAACGACGGTTACCCCTGCCTTCGATTTGATGGTCTTACTGACCAATTGGTTTTCCGGTTGTCTTCTCCGGTTCCGTTTAAGGTAAGTCCCCTTTTTTCCGATGGGTGCCAGTAGGTGGTAAGTTTCCATCTGGATTTTGGCCGTCCTGGGTATTCCCCGTATGATTCCAATCGAACCCCGTATGAAGTTATTGACGGTCGTTCCTTCTGTTGTGAATCGGCGGTTTCTGGTGACTTTCTCGGTTCCTATTTGGTATATGGTAGATGATGAGAAACTTTGGTTTGATTAAACCCAAAGCTCTGATACCAAATGTTGGATCGAAATATAGAATTGCAAGATTGAATCAAAGTTTGTTTATTTCTGAGAAAAATACACACTAGAAACTATACAAATCGATACAAATATATAGACACCGAAGAGGTGCCTTCGAACCATTGTGACTGTTCGAATGGTGGTGATCGAACCATTATGATGGTTCGGATGTTGGTGGTTATCATCGCACCCTTTCAAGTTTCCTAAATTACAGATTATTACTTAAATAAAAATAATAAGAAACTAAAACACTAAACTTTGTTTCTTCTGATTAATGTCGAGATTAACTCAACAGAAGAGCCTCGCTATTATTTATATCTTTTTTACACATTATTCTAACACTCAATAGCACGTCATATTGTCCAGATCTAAACCAAAATTCTTAGAAAAACGAGTGAAGGAAATCAGATATCTCTTTTGTTTCTTTTAATTGTTTAAAACAATCAATTTTTTGAAGAATAACTCAAATACAATCAACTAAATTTATCTTCAAAATTAGAAATTAAATTGCATAAAGAAAAATATCATGAACAGAAGCAGAGACAGATTCAAGAAAATTTTAAAGCAGGTGAATCAAATGAAGTGGTGGAAGTTTTAAGAGCAGATCCATAAAATGTTTCCAGTGCGTCGGGATGATAGAACGGGTCGACCGACACGCCAAAATCATATGGGTGGGAGTAAGTTTGTCATATTAGTACTTCATGTGGATGCCATATTAGTTTCAAGCAACAATATGACATGTTGTTCGAGTCCAATGGCTTCCTTTCTGGATAGTTTGACATAAAGGATCTTGGTGAAGCCTCTTATATTCTTGGCATTGAAATACATCGAGATCGAGCCCATGGGACAATAGGTTTGTCTGAAAAGGAATATCAATCGTATTCTCGATGGATAATTATAACGTGCAATATTGTGCTCTCATGATCCCTCTGTTGTTAAAGATGAAAATTGTGGCTCCTACTAATGGCCCTGATTCTAAGAAGAATATGAGCAAATGAAGCTTATTCTCTAAGAAAACTCATTAGTAGACTCAAAGCTGTAAATGGGACTCGAAGGACGCAAAAATTCATTGTGATAAATATTGTTGTTATTTTCTAGAATAACACTATTCCAAAGGTGCTCGAGTGTAAGGGGGCGTTTGGTTCGTAGAATGGAATTCGATAGAATTGGAATTCATCAAATGAATTTGACTTTGAGGAAATGGAATGGAATTTGACCATGTCTTGTGATTGCGTTTGGTTGCATGGAATTGGAATGAAATTTTTAACGGAATTGGAATTTTTCTTGTTTGGTTCATGAAATTAAACTTTGGAATCAGAATTAAATATCAACAAATGACCTTTTATGGTTTTTTTGTCGTTTTTTTAAATTAAAATTACCATTAAACCAAATTACATTATTAACATCAGATAAAATTTGAAATTGTTCACTTATATTACTAATATCTGAAATTATTCACTACAAAATATTAAGATCCGAGACAGAGCGAGATGGAGAAAGAACGAGAGAGAGATAGAGATAGATAGAGAGAGAGAGAGAGAAGTCGAACATACCAGCAGTTTTGAACGAGATCGAGAAGAAGAAATCAAGCAGAGCAGAGCAAAGCAAATCGAGATATAGAGTCGATGAATTTGGATGAGGGCTAAGGAATTCGTCGGAAAGGAATTTGAAATCCTTGGTACATCAAGTGGAATCGTGAAATCGGTGACCGAATGAATTTGTAGGAATTGAACGGATTCCTTCACCTATAATCTGTGAACCAAACATCATATTTGGAATTTGATCAAAGGATTGGACATTCCAATTCCTTTCAATTCCCCCAAATTCCCATGATCCAAATAGCCCCTAAGTACGTATTAGTTCGAGAAAAAGTGGAAGAGAAAAGGATAATTTTCTAGAATAATATTTAAATGTGTCATGAGTAGGTGGTAAAAAAGGATGAAAAAACAGAACCCTTCCACTTACATCCAAGCCCGCGTTTGTGACCGTGGCTTTCCCCAAGTACGTTTATGATAATTTATGCCTCGTTTGTGTTACATGGGATAGGATTTCATTTCTTGGCCTTGAAAACCAATAACTATCCCCTATTTTTTAATAAGTAAATAAAATCAAATTTAGAGCCAAACAATTGTACAACAAAAACAAATATTTTTCTTTAGTTTGACATTCACTACAACAAAATTGGATTTATAAGATGACAAAAAAATTTATGCGTCCTAATAGATCGTTTTATAGACAAAAAAATATAAAACGTCCTAAAGACGTTGAAATAAGTTTATAGGACGCTTCTGAGCGTCTTAACAACTATTTTAGGGCACTTAATACAAAACGTCCCTTTAGAAATTTTATAGGACACTATGTTGGTCCCAAAAGGGTCTACAAGAATACTAAACAGTTTGTAGAAGGGGGGGGGGATGAATACAAACACAATGTTTTCAAATTTAAAATATATATTGATAG